GTCTCCCTCTCTGAGGAGCCTTTACTTAGAATAATTTCAGCTATACTTTGAGAAAGGATGAGTTTTAAAGTAGTAAGAAGAGTGGACAAAAGCAAGAGGATTAATGTGACATGCTGTGGTTCTAAACAAGCCAGAGGTAAAATCCGTGGTGATGATGCTGCGGATGTGTTAATACAGTTTACTTTAATTACCTGTGATGGAAATGTTTCTTGGCTGATTTAACACAGACACGTCTCCCCTCAGGCTTTCACCATCCAGCAAAGCTCTGTGGAGATGGACAACAAGACACAATTACGTCCTGAGGTTCCCGGATAAGATTTGGAGGATGCAAACATGATGCTGCACATTGAGCTGTGGGTGGGAAGAGGAGCGAAGGGAGACTCTAGCTGTTCTCAAGCAGAAAGAAAAGACTGAGGTCTGTTGTTATGGTAATGAAGGAAAGGCAGTGCCATTGAGGAGCCATCTGCAGTGCACAAACCTCCTCACATACACAACAACAGGGGGGACTCTCATGAACACACATACGATGACAGCAGATTTTACAAGCAGCCCATGCAGCACTAATACAACTGTTTCCATTCTCATGTTTGGATCACTGTTGTTTCCATTCCAACACATACTTAAATAATTAGCTCTATTACAAAATAATTTCTTCTTTTTGGCATAGAATCACAATTGAACATGGTATAAATGACATTCAGATTTGTCCTCTAGTAATGTCCTTTCTTCATCTGCTCCCCTACGCTGTAATTCTAGACTCCCATAGCTGAGAAATTGGTAGCTTCTCACTACAGGGTGAGGGTCAATATTTTGAGGGTGGGGTGGGGATGTGGGCTATAGAGCTTCATAATGGATAAGTTACTCAGTTCAAGGCAACAGAGGCTGCTGCTTCAAAGAAATGACCTTCCAGACAGGCTGCTCCCTCCGCGGGCATCTTTTCCTTTGTCAGTTTCTTTAACTACTGGAAGAGACAACATATACCCTGTTACTGAGCTTCTAAGTGGGTTAAATCAATCATGCAACTCATAGTTTACATGGTAAACTGAGCTAATAGCTAAGCTGTATGCATGTGGAGTTTGAGTCAGTTTGCAATTCAAAACCTATTTAAGTAAATCTTTAAATCATATTTTTTCCACGTCAGTTTGGTTCATTCTTAGTTTTGCAGGAAAGCAAAAACACTAATTGTTTTGTGCATTAATAACCAATTTACAGACAAAGACTCTTTCTGAAAACTGATTTTGGAAATATGATAATTTAGCCATTTAGTGAGATTCTTCGAACACCTATCAAAAACACATGAAGCTGCACTTGCCTCTAAGCAAGTCAAAATCAACTGCAAGGTGCAGCCCCAACTGTCTGACATCAAGCAGCTCAGTGTTTCAGATCACCCTACCTGGTGAAGCAATATAGTTTTTACATTGCACTGTAAAGCACTGATGCTATATAACAGCAACCTGGATACGGGACGTCTAAGTCAATGCACAGGCCGACTTCTTTAAATAGAAAACGTATGCAGATCAGTCTAATGTTTCATTTTAAATCACAAAGAGCATGAAGCATCTTCAGCCACAGATAATACAGAAGAAAGGGGGGGCTGGCAGACACAGCATTAGACAGTCTCTTTATTAATAAATAAAACAGAAGACCTTCTGCAAACTGTGTGAACCTCATGCAATAGTGGCATTGCGAAATCAGGTAGTACTGCTAATGAAATAATGACTCACAATAAATTTGACAGAGATAAATATGATAATTTTGTAACCACTAATCTTATATTCTGTTACTGAAGCACACAAGACAAACTTTATTTCACTTTGAAAGATACTCCATGTGCAAAGTAACCCATTTTTTTTGATACATTACACACTCGTGAAAAAAATAGTAAAAAAAATTCTAAGGTAAAGTACACTTTAGCTTCTACTTCTTCTATCAGGTAGAAAAATAAGTGTTAAGGGTGCTTTAGAATTGACAGTGCAACAGGCAGTTCAGTGTACCTGTATGTTGCTACTTCGAGACCTAGAGACATTTTCAGCTGCGTCAGGCCTCGGTTCTCCATTATGATATGATCGATCTGTTGACCAAGCTCATGCTTCTCCACCTCTAAGGACTCCAAGTGCTCCTGCCAAAACAGGAAGCAGAAGAGGAAAAGGAAGAGGTTAAAAAAAGCATTGGAAAAGAATTCAGTGTTGTGCTATATTAAGCAGGAATAAATCTCCTTGTTCTTTTGCTTGTTATATGTGGTGGGTTGTTTACAGGCTTTTATTATTACTGCATCTAAGTTATTCAACCTGTTTTACTTATCACACTAGAGTGCTTTTAGATTTACACACTGTTACAAGCGATATAACTGCCTGCTAGTGATCTGGGACCTCAGTGGGAGAAAAAAAATGCCATAAAAAGTATTTAGTGTGGGTGCTTCACCCCTCAGACCTAACTGTGACCCAGAACTAATCCCATCAACCCCAGCCTATAAATATGTAGCCCCCAGTTGCTTTCATAACCAAATGTGTTCATTTCATCAGCATATTAAATGTGGATGCCAAGGGAGCAAAATCCCTTGGGGGGGAGAGGACTCATAAATGCTTCCAAAAGCCTTTAGTGGAGCTTCTTGCGTATTTTGCTGGAGGCCTTGAATATTTCCAGGAAAATCTATATTCAAATAAAATGTATCTAGTATTCTTGTTCTTTTTACTGAGTATTTGATCTCTTAGGACATGGCTAGTCAAATGTAGTGACAGTAGATATCCACAGACTCTATTTTGTCCAGCTGTCACGAGTCACATGTTCAAATTCCACTGTGCTTTGTCCATTTGTTATCTTACACTGTGACATTAACCACAATGACTTATTGCATATTTCACAACCAACACCCAATGATTTTGTTGGCATTCTTTTCCAACCAGTCAGAAGTTGCCTAATGTGTGAATATGCGGAACAATTTTCAGTTTCAAAGGGTAATAATTGGATTGAATATCATGTACATTCAACTATTGCAACTGTTGTAATAACTGTTGCATCCCAACATGTATGGATTGTTTCACTCACCTGGAGCTGCTGCATCTCTTGGCTGTATTTGTCTGTCTGCTGGGCAACAGTTTTCTCCAGATGCTGTCTGATTTCCTGAGCTGAGATGATCTCCTTCTCCAGGGTTTGGAGCTTCAGCTGGCTCTCACGTTTCTCCTGGCCCACTTGGGTCAAACGGCTCCTGGCCTGGTTAAGTGACTCCTCTAACCGAGTCAGCTGGTCCTGATAAGCATCTGCTGCCTCCTGCCATGCTGTGGTGGCACTCTGAGAGTATTCATGCCCCAGCTGAAGGAGATTCGGTGTATGGTTGCCCTTTTGAGAAAATGTGTAAGATAATGTAGCTCTAGAATGGGTCAGTGTGGCTTCCAGGTGGGCTACATCCTCCCCATGTGTTTGGATCAGGAGTCTCATCTCATGCTCCAGCTGGTTGACTTTCTCTCTAAGCCAAATCTGTGCCCTCTGTTCCTCCTCCAACTCCTTCCTGCTTTGCTCCAGCTTTGTCTTGGCCTTCACTTTTTCTTCAGCCTCCCTCTGTCTCCACAAGTCCAGCGCTTGAAGTTCCTCAGTCAACTTGCCAACTTCCAGCTCTGTGAGGACCCTATCTCTCCAGACTGCATCTACTTCCAGTCTTGCCTGCCGCAACTCTTCCTCCAGGCCTCTTCTGCGTGTCAAAGCACCTTGATTATTGTGTCTCATAGCTTGTATCTCCTTTGCAAGCAGCATGTTTTCCTCCTCTAGGAGTTTAACTCGGTTCAGGTAGGTCCCGAGTCGTCGATTTAGGTTCAGCATCTGCTGCTTCTCTTCACCCAGGTGGTTGGTGTGGGTGGTCCTTTGTAAACTGTGGCGCTCCATGTCAGTGTTAAAAATAAGAGATATGAAAAACTGAAGCCTCACTCAAAGGTATGCTGATTAGAAATTGGCAACTGACTATATCCCTGTATCCAGGCCTGAGACAGCGTGAGAGTGAGGCTTCTAGGAGACCCCTGAAATGTGACTGTCTGCAAGAGGGTTTCCTTTCATACTAGGCTTAATGAAGGGGCCGGGCACATGGACAAAAGGGGAGGGGGGTGGAGAGGGAGGAGACTCAAGGCTGGAAAGGGAGAGGAGGGGAGGGGAGAGGAGAGGAAGATGGATGGAGTGACTAAGTGGGATGAAGGAAAGCAGATATGAAATGAGATAGAGGGTTGGAGTAGCAGGGGTGGATATAGCAGTGAAAGGGCAGAGAGAGAAGCAGTGATCTAATTTATAAAATTAACTCTTTCACCACTGGCACTTTTTTCCAGCTGAATTTGAGCTGAGCCATGGAACCTTCCATACTTCCCTCTCCTCTGTATCCCACTTTATCAGGAATTTAAACCTTTAAAGGACTCAGTGTCAATACGTTTTTAGTTTAGACTTCACAGTATTAAGCAGACTGAAACAAGTGATCTTGAAAACCCTAACCAACAGTTAATACACATTTTTCTTTAAATAAATCTGACTAAATTCACAGTGACGTATATGAATCGTTAACCCTGATAATGCAAAAATAATATGAGCTTATGAAATCCATAACCTTATTATGGAACAAGGAAGATCAAAGATAAAATGTGTGTGTAAGCAAAAGTTGAATCAAGCTTTGGTTTGGTAACTATGAACTTCTACAGCTACAAAATAGTGAGAGCCTGTCACCATCTACAAGAAATCATAATTAGGCCGATGCCAGAAAAAAATTTCTTGGGCCGAACCACAGGAAGAAACATATAGTCTATGGGCCAAGTTGGAAATAAATCTACTAATAACAGCACAGAGGGACGATAAATTGAATTGTTTTGCTTCACAGTTTATATAAAATCAAAATTTTAAGTCTAAGGTACACATTAGGTATCTGTTCACAACATATTCACCGCTCACAGTAATAGTATTATCTTTTCATCACACTGTAAAGTGTTTGAGGTTCTTCCAGCCAGACATGTATGCAAATTACATTTAAAGCCAAAAGCAGAAGTTGGTGTTACAAACAGACTTAACATAACTCAGGAAAAAACAACTTCTCTCATGTATGCCCTGTGGTTCAAATACAATACTCTTCTCTGTCTACGAGTCACAAAAAACCAAACAGAAAGACTGTAAGGATGGCAGAGGACGAGGTTAACTACTCATCAGTTGTATTTAAACCTAGCCAACAACAAAGATCAGAAGGTAAGTTAAGCCTTTCAAATGCACTGCGTAAAGAAAAAGAGATTCATAAACTCAGAGTACTTGTGTAGTCTTTTCAGTATAATGGATGTGAAGACACACACTATTATTTTCACTTCCTGTTTAAGCAACCTGCACCGAAGAATACAATGTGACCAAAAAATGAAAAAAGATTTCAGAAGAATGTAATGAAGCATATTTAAAGGTTTTTAAGGCAGTTGATCCTTTCTTCCTCTTAGGCAATAGTTATAAGACAGGGGGGAAAACATGGATGAAAGATACTGTAATGTTAAGTCCAAATAATGAAATAAGCATTAGAATGTCCTGTTATTTGATAACTTGTGATTACTAATTCATTTTTAAACCTTTCAGTTAAAAAGGAGGAAACAGTGTATGATGAAGTAAAGGTGCAAAATAAGGCAACAGAACAAACTCCTGTCACAAATGGTGAGTAGTCAAATGAAAAACGTGAAAGCATTTCTTCTTTTTCCCCCGCCTGGTTCTTTTGCCATCAGAATTGTTGTCTAAAGGCCAAGAAAGATGCCCAATGGATTCACTCTACCAAGTGGACCATCCCGGCCTTGCCATATTGGTCCATTTGAAAAGAAAGAAAAAGCAAAAGAAAAAGAGATTAATCAACTCAGGGTATTTATGTAATATTTTCAGTATAATGGATGTGAAGACACACACTAATATTTTCACTTCCTGTTTAAGCAACCTGCACCGAAGAATACAATGTGACCAAAAAATGAAAAAAGATTTCAGAAGAATGTAATGAAGCATATTTAAAGGTTTTTAAGGCAGTTGATCCTTTCTTCCTCTTAGGCAATAGTTATAAGACAGGGGGGAAAACATGGATGAAAGATACTGTAATGTTAAGTCCAAATAATGAAATAAGCATTAGAATGTCCTGTTATTTGATAACTTGTGATTACTAATTCATTTTTAAACCTTTCAGTTAAAAAGGAAGGAAAACATTGTATGATGAAGTAAAGGTGCAAAATAAGGCAACAGAACAAACTCCTGTCACAAATGGTGAGTAGTCAAATGAAAACCCATGCAACTGAAAACATTTCTTTTGCAATATTTTATTTTAATTTTCCAATATAGAAAACCCCATCAACAAACAAATAAATACAGCTCAGGTGCTAAGGCAGGGCAAGAAGACAAGCAATAGCACAGTAATAATAAAAACTACCAGTATCCAGAGTAAATCAAATATCATGCATTTGTAACAAACAGAGAAACCACAGCGCCATGACACATGTTCATATAACCAGGGCTTTCCCAAGGTAATTAAAAAACAGAGTCCAGGATTTTGAGAAAACATTTACTGCAGAAGTTTGTAGGTATCGAATATTTTCCATTTGTATGACTGATAGCATGTAATTGAGCCAGACATTGAAGGAGGGAGGAACATCAGACTTCCATTCCTTTGGGATAAGTCTTTTCGCAACCATCATTCCAAGATCGACTGGTACCCGCGTAGTTGCAGGAATAGTTCTGGAATGTATGCAACCAAAAACTGCAAGACAAAGATTCCGTAAGCTTTAGAGTACCAATCAAATAAGCTTGACCAGAAATTAGTTAATGAGGGACAATGCCATAAAGCATGAGCCAGTATTCTATCTGATATTTTACATCTGTCACATATGGGGGAAGTTGAAGAATACATTTTGTGTAGTCGAACCTTGGAGTAGTGTAGCTGATGGACAACTTTAAGTTGTATTAATTGATGTCTACTGTTAAAAGGGCAGGAATTAATTTTGGATAAGCACTTGTCCCACATTGATTCCAATATTTCTATACCCAGTTCATCCCTCCAAGCGTCTCTTACCCTCGTAATCCACGCCTCAACACTGTCATCAAACAAATGTACAATTGTAGAAATCAGATGTTTGGAATAAGGAGGGCTCAGGAGCACATTAAAAAAGTTGTGTTAAGTTGGACAAAATGCCTAAGCTGATTAAATGATGGGAATGTCTGGTGCCAGAAGGTCAGCACTTGTACATTTGAAGCCCAATAATAATGTTTGAATATTGGTAAACTCAGACCTCCCTTCAATTTGGATTTATGTAGATGTAGTTTTGAGATTCTAGGATTCTTGTTGTTACATATGTAAGAAGTGATAATCAAGTCCAACTCCTTAAAGAATGAGGAAGTGTCAGCCTATTTGTCTGACAAACTTGAGATTTTGAGTTAGCATTAAGTGCTTATGAAGTGCATTATTAAAAGCTAACTATTCTGTTTTTAAAGTCTAAAAACAAGTGCTTTTAACAGTTTGATTGCCTCATATGAATTACAGAAAATTTTCTAGATAGCCTCATCAAAACCTTTGCGATTTGTATTTTTCTGCTGTGAGACAGTGAGACAAAAGGAAACAAAACAAAACCAAATTGTAACTTTGAATAAAACTTATAAAACTTATAAAACTTAAAATTATTCAGAAAGCTAAACTTATATATTTCTATCTGTTGTTTAGCTTCTGCAGAATTCTTGCCCGACAAGAAATCAAACCGGAGATGTCGCCACTATCAGCAGTTGGCTTGTTGTTTGGGCACGCTTTGTATAATTTTGGCATTGGGCATCATAGCAGTCAGTGTCTACCGTAAGTATGAAAACATTCATACAATAGTCACACTTATGGTACTTTCTCTTTCTGATTTTGCAGATCTGTTAGCAAGAAATTTCACAGAAAATTATGCTAAACAATATTTTACAATTTATGTTTCATTTAATTCAATTTAATGTTTCAAAATGTATCTAAAGATACAATTATCCCAAACAAAGCTGTTATTTGACATTGGAAATGTTCTATAGTAACATAATTGGTTTTAAGGTGAGGTGATACACAAGGAAATACAACAGCAGTCATAGGGGAAGTCTTTATGCTGTAACTGGTGACACAACCAATGTAGCTGTGGACTCTGCATTTAAAAAATGAATTCCCAACAAAAATGCATTTTATACTTTTTATTATCTGAGTGGATTTAATTCATACTAAAAGATTTAAATAAATCTAAAAAAGACTAAACTAAAAACGTTTAATTAGAACAGAAGAGGAAATACTTTAAACAGTAGTAAAATGATAATAAATGAATAAATAAATAAATTGAGATCCACCATATTCTAAAAAACTAATTTTAATTTTGCAGATGTCACATTAATTTATGAGACTGATGAAACTGAGCTGAACCAACTGAAAGAAAACCAAACAACTTTAAATGCTGTCAATCATAACCTGACAAAACTCAACAACCAACTCAGCTCAGACAATGAAGACTTGAAGAGGAACCAAAGCAAGCTCACACTCCAGATGAACAACCTGACTCAAGTCTTTAATGTCTTAGATAAAGAGGTGACAAACCTGACTGCAGAAAACCAGAAACTTAAAGGGAAAAATGAGGAGCTGAAGACTCAGAATGAGGACCTGGAGGCAGAGAAGAAAAACCTAACAGAACAAACGCAACAGATGACGACACCATGGGATGAGCTCAATGTTAGTCGAGCTCAGTGGAGCATTGATGCCTACTGTCCCCGAGAAAATAACAGTATGTTCCAATTACATTACCTACAATAATACCAAATTTAACAGCAATATGCAGTGATGTTTATTAATTGATCTCCATCTTTGCAGACAGAAAGTGTAACGCTTGTCAGAAGGGCTGGGAATTAAATTCCAGCTGCTATGCAACTAATAATACTGACCAAGGTGAATGGAAAACCTGGGAAGAAGCTCGAAAAGACTGCAGAGGAAAGATTTCAGATTTGGCTGTTGCAATTAATGAAGAAGAAATGGTAATGACAGCACAGAGAGACTCTTTATTACAGACTTAGTTAAATAGATCTGAACTCAGTCAGCGGTTTAAGCAAAGTATTTAAATATCTCTGATCATTTCCCCTCTGTTCTCAGAAAATTATTCGTGAAAAGAGTTGGAAAAATAATGAAAACAAAGGATACTGGATTGGCCTGAGAGTTGAAGATGGGAAATGGAAGTGGCTGGATGGAAGGAATCTGACTAATAAGTAAGAGACAATTAAAATATTTGCCAAATTTGGAATAAATTAGTTACAATGTACAAGTGTCCATCAACCTTGAGCAAATTTGTTACTTTCCTCAGCTCCTGGATCGACCAGTCATCTCCTTCTGATGGTCACTGTGCAATCTCTCTCCAAAACCAAGGATTTAAATCAGTCAGCTGTGATGAGAAGAACCAATGGATCTGCAAGAAGAAAGCTTTGTCTGTTTGAATGCTGCAAAGTAAATACTTCAGAAGACTACTGGATATTCAGAAACTACTATATTAATATTGATGTTAATATCAATAAAAAAAATTAATGTAATTTATAAATAGAATATTAAAATGTGAAGACTGATTTATGATTTTTGTATAGTTTTAATGCCAAGACAATCTTGCGGGTCCTTGTTTTCAGTTACCGTCTGTAACCTTGTTAAAATGTGCTTGATTCCTAAAATTAATTCTGAAAAACGAGTTGACGTTTTACCGAAGCACATCTGATCTATTAAAAGCCTGGAGGTTATAAATAAATGGTTTAACATGTGACCCATCTGCAATTGAGCAGGTAACAACCCAGAACCAAAGAACCAAGGTCACCCACAGTAATAACAGACACAAGCATTGATTCAATAAATGTCCTCACATCTAACCAAACACAATATCATACCTCTCACTGTATCATACACATGCCTGTATGTGTAGACTAGGCTCAAGAAAGTGAGATAGGATGGGAATAATGGAAATTCTTTTCAAACATAAAATCATAGAAAAAATATTGTTTATTGAGGTGCATGTGAATTTACTATGTTTTTTTATAGAAAAAAAGAGCAGCCACCTCCAGTGTCTAATTTAATCTCTCCAAAAGTTGATTCTGTTCATCTCGACAAATTTAATCTAATCTAATCTAATTCCTTGAATTATAGTTTTATGAATTCTTTTCTTCCATTGCAGTGTTTGTTTTTGCAGCTGACAAAACAGCAGCAACTGAACATGTTAACATGTGAATTCAATTAATGCTAAGAGGAATTAAAGCACTTTTGAAAGCATACGAGGGTCCAAACCAGTTAAGGTAGATGAGTGATTCCAAAAAGTGTGGGCCGGGGCCCCTTGGTGGGCTTCCAAAGTACTGCAGATGGGCCACAGTAAAAAAAGAAATTCAGTTTGAAATAACTCACAAGCATGTACAGTTATAGATTTATATACATTTATTTATTTATGTAAAAGTAAATTAAAACTGCTAATATCAGGTGTTTGGTTTATGATGTTACTCATTATTCTGACCTAAATTTAATGTTCTTTCATTGAAGTTTGTGTGATATGGCTAGATAACATTAACAACTGATAACCAACAGCCTGTGTTGTTTATGTTTTTGAATAAACTTTTCAGGAAAATACATCACTTTCTTTCTTTTGATTAGAATGAAGATTTAAGATTTGGGTGGGCTGCTGGTATTTATGGTTTTTAAGTGGGCTGCACTAGGTTTAGGTTTGGTTTGTTGCTGGCATCTTGAGATCTTAAGTGACTTGATTATTGGTTGCAACCTGCCCCTTTCTATTGTGGAAAACAAGAATTTTCTGCACTTTCTGACAGTAGTTGACAGAAAATACAGTCCGGTATGTTGCAGAACAATTACATCAAAAACAGAGAACCTCGCTGCTGAGAGACGTTCAATGTTAAAAACTCAGTTGAGCGAGACCGATCATGTTTCAGTCACTGTGGACATTTGGTCGGACCGAAGGATGAGGGGTTTCCTTGGTATCACTGTGCACTGGATACAGAAAGAGACAGAGAGGATGCAGCGGAAATCCAAACTGCTGGCCTTTGACCACTTCAAAGGATTACACACTGGTGAAAGAATCTGTGAGAAATTTGAAGCTATATGTGATGAATACAACATCAAAGATAAACAAGACTAAATTATTAGTGACAATGCTGCCAATATGTGGAGAGCATTCACTGTGTGCTTCCCCACTGAGCAAGCTGAGGAACATGATGATGATGACGGTGATCATCTTGATGATCCAGAGCTCTGGCACGATTTAACCTTTGGAAGATCAGGAAACAGTAGGTGCTGCTATGGCAAAGACACAGCGCCTGCAGTGTTTGCACGCACACACTTCAGTTGGTGGTGAGAGATGGTTTGTCAGAGACCAAAGTGGCATCTCCTTCACTTTCAAAGTTATCTAAGCTCAGCTCTCTACTGCACACAAGCACAACATTCAAAGATGTTTTTGAAGGTGACCAGAAAGGGATCCCTGCTGCTGTAATCACAAAATGGAATTTAACACTGAGACAAGTAAATGCAGCTCTCCAATGTGAACATCTAAAACTCTGCGCTGTTCTTGAAATGGCTGGGCACAAGGAGTTATTATTCACAACACGAGAGTGGACCCTGTTGAAGGAGATGGTGGACATCTTGAAGCCTTTTGGAGACGCAACAGATTTGACACAAAGTGGGAAAATAGTCACGATCAGTGTTGTTGTTCCATCTGTGCTGTCCCTCAATCACCACCTTGAGAAACTGAAGCCTCAAGTCTGTTTCCTGAGTGGTCTGGTCAGGAGTCTCCAAGCATCTTTGAACAAAAGATTTCTTGGACTCTTTATCAGTGTGCGAATGTCTAGAGCAGAAGATGGGATCACTGCCCCCTTTTCAGATCCAGTGTACCTTAAAGTAGCTGCTTTGGATCCAGCATTTTCTCTGTTGTGGGTGGAACACCATGTGTTGGGCAGTTGTGACATAAAGACAGAGGTGACACAAAAAGCTAAAGGTAAAGATTGAATACAGTGTATATTTTTTTCTGTATTTTTTTGTCTAAAATTGTAAGAAAGACTCTTTTGCTGTTGTTAATTTGTTTTGCCAGATCTGATTCTGCAAGATGCTGCAGATCCTGCAAAGTCAGAGAAACCTGTGACTCCTGGTGAGGAACATCAAGAGGACTGTGAAGATGGAGGACTCTTTGCTGCTTACTGTAAGAGGCAGAAGAAAGATGTGGGGAAGAGTCCAGCTCTACAGCTAAGTCACTACCTGGATATTGCTGATGGACAGAACGTCCCCTTGTTCTGGGCAATGAACATGCAGACTCTTCCTTTTCTGTTTCATGTGGCCACCAGAGTTTTGGCAGTACCTGCATGTAGTGCTCCTGTGGAGCGAGTTTTCAGCTATGGTGGCATCATTCTATGGCCTCATCGTGTACAAATGACTGACAGACTTTTGGCCAATTTGGTCTTTTGCAAATGCAGTGCAGAATAGTTAACTGAAATAACTTAAAGTGCACATTCTTGTTCATCGTTCATTTACATATATATATATATTTATATATATATATACATATATAATGTTTTTGGGTTTTTTCCTCTGTCACTCACACATGGACACATACAAACACATGTTCACACCTGTGACAGACTAGATGAGAGAGAGAGGCTAAGCTAATCACACTGCACTAAATTTACTGCGATGGTTCATTGTTTTGTAAATAAGGAAATTGCAGCACTTTTTTTTTCAACAGGAAGTTCTGCTTTTGCATTTTTCACTGAATGTTTATTCTGTGAATTTGTAATTTAGAGGAAGACTATTCTTGCAGCAAAGTTTAATTGAGCTGTACATTATAAAGGTGCAACTTCAGAATTAGTTTGTGCATATTTTGTAAGTTCACTTGTTTCATCAGTTGTTGAGATAAATACAGATTTAAAAAAGAACACATGGTCTATTATTTACATTTAACATATAACTGCAACATTGTTTAAAAAAAAGACTTGAAAGGACTTGAAATTCAAAGTTTAGGACTTGGGACTTGACTTGAAAGTAGTCTGTCTTGACTTAAGACTCTGACTTGCCTGACTTTACTTGAGACTTGACTCGTGACTTGAGGATATAGACTTGAGACTTGCAAAACAATGACTTGGTCCCACCTCTACACCATCTACAAGAAACCATAATTAGGCCGATGCCAAAGACCCTAACCCTTGGGCCAAACTACAGATAGAAACATATAGTCTATGGGCCAAGTTGGAAAAAAAACTCCTAAAAAACAGCACTGAGGTACAATAAATTGAATTATTTTGCTTCACAGTTTATAGTAAATTAACATTTAAAGTCTAAGGTACACACTAGCCATCGGTTCACAACATATTCACTGCTCACAGTAATAGTATTATCTTTTCATCACACTGTAAAGTGTTTGAGGTTCTTGCAGCCAGACATGTATGCAAATTACATTCAAAGCCAAAAGCAGAAGTTGGTGTTAGAAACAGACTCGGGGGGAAAAACAGCTTCTCTCATTTATGCCCTGTGGTTCAAATACAATACTCTTCTCTGTCTACGAGTCACAAAAAACCAAACAGAAAGACTGT